CTGGAGGATGCCCTCATATTGTTCATGTCATTTAGTAGCCTTAAACTTTGTTAAAATTCTCCAAACACCACTGTTTGTGCAAGATTGGGTCTCCTAAGCTCCTTGTCATTCTCACCGCCTTTGAAAAAGTAAGGACAATGCTCCACACCAATGCGGTGTAGGCTCAAAGCACCGGAGAGCTAATGAGACTCCTGTCCCCTTCCCCTTACAAGTGTCCAGACCGTTGTGTGCATCCTTCTTCACTGCGTGAAATATATTCTTCAACTCAGCCCTCCCAGCACCACCACCCAATTCCCTCGTAGTCAGCAGAAAGCAGTGATTTATAACAACTGATGCGTTGATCCGGGGGTAGGGAAGGGAGACGAGGAATCTCCCAAAGGAAGCTTCACTTGACAATGTCTCTTTCCTGCACTTCCTAACAGGGACTCAGTGGGGGATGACCAACTGTGGAAAAATTTTGCTAATGTCCCAGGACAAGAATTACGATTATTTGCCGGGCTTCCATCCACCGTGGGGAATTCTGGCCCGTGACATCACCCCATTGTTCCTGCTGGTGCCAAGAACATGCTGGGATCCCGTCTTCTCAATGGTTAAAGTGCTTTCCTGTTTGCTCGTTCCTTGTTTCCAAACAGCGCATTTCATGAATGCTGCATGGGACGTCTCTTTTTCTTGAGCTGTTTTGTCCCTTTCGTCATGTCTGCCTGGAACCCTTCACAATGGAGTGAACAATGTATTCCTACAGTCAGAAACAAAAGGGAAAAAATAACTGCAGGAGGCAAAGCCCATCTTTGGTATTTAGGACCCTGTGTACGCCTTTGTTCCTTCTTTGGAAGCCGTGTTTGTGTGGCACCAACCCGTCCCTCTGCTCCAGCCTGTTGTTTTTCTTAGTGATCTTAGTGTGGTGATAATGCCAGGAGTGTTGGCCCTGAAAAGCAGTGGCTCCTGCTCTTTATCAGGGGAACGGGGACAGTTTCAGGAGCTGTGCAGCTTGTCTGTGTCTAGGAGGTGAAGGAGAACCACCGCTCCCACTCCCAGTGGGTCCCCCAGCCCATAGTACCAAGCAGGTTTGAACGTTCAGCCTAAAATGAGTAGATACTCTAAAAACCACCAGTTAGACACCAGAATAATACTCTGTGGGGATGGCTGATGCTGAGACAGCTGTTTCAGACTGTGTCTGGACATTCTTCTTTGCAAGCCTAAAGGCAAATTACTTTTTACGAAGTCATTGGTTTGTTGGGTTTTTTTTCGTGCAGAATTTCTGTAGCTCTGGACAAAGGTCTCAGAGCAGGGTCAGTTCAAAGCAGTCCTGGGCAATGCGATCCCAACCTCACCTCTTCTCTGCAGGGTTCCTGCACCCCTGCACCAAACCAAGACTTTTGTCCATAGCCCCACATCCTTTGAGATCTTTGAAACACTGGTGCCAAACATCCATATGTGTGCTGGTCAGGTTTGTGCCTGCTCAACACAGTAGGGTATTTCCTGGAGAAAAAAACCAACTAGTTCAAACTCCATTCAGGAGGCATATATGAACAAGAGGGTGTAACGCTTGCTCCGTTTTCTGCAACAGTATAAATCTCTTGGGTTTTATGAGAAATTAAGAAAACAAATGAGAACTCTTGGATGAAAGGTCTGGTTTGTAAAGATGTTTTTGCACCTGGCATTAAAGGCAGATAGCTAGCAGATATCCAGGCACTTGCCGCCTTCTGGCAACACCTCTCCTATGAGGAGAGGCTGAGAGAGTTGGGACTGTTCAGCCTGTAGAAGAGAAGGCTCTGGGGAGATCTTATTGCGGCCTTCCAGTGCCTAAAGGGGCTCCAGGAGAGCTGGGGAAGGACTTTTTACAAAGGCAAGTAGTGATAGGACGAGGTGGAATGGCTATAAACTGGAAGAGGCGGGTTTAGAGAGGGCAGGTTTAGATTAAACATTAGGAAGAAGTTTTTCACTTTGAGGGTGGTAAAGCACTGGAACAGGTTGCCCAGAGAGGTTGTTGAGGCCGCATCCCTGGAGGTGTTCAAGGCCAGGCTGGTCATGGCCTGGGGCAGCCTGGTCTGGTGGGAGGTGTCCCTGCCCATGGCAGGGGGGTTGGAACTCGATAATCTTCAAGGTCCCTTCCAACCTAAACCATTCTATGATTCTAACACAGTAAGAGATCTCTACACACAGTTACAGGTAGTGTCAGGCACTTCTTGGAAGTGTAAGCTAGGTCACAAAGCTATGGCCACAAAAGAAGTCTGGTAAAGGAAATAGCTCGAACCCAGATCTCCGAAACCTCAGGTTAACTTGAGACCCTTCTTCCCTCCTGGAGACACAAGAGGTCTTCATGTGACCAAGTTCTCTGCTGATCCTTTCAGTAAATGAATCCTGGAAAGCCATATTACTGTGGCTCTGTCTCATACTTCATGCAAAGAACTGGAAACACCTTTTCTAAGAAAGAGCCCCTTCTTTAAGCAAAATGATGTCATTTATGGCCCAGCCTTTCTTGTGTGTGTGTAACTACTGCTGCGTTACCTTCCCCACGTCGAGGATATCTTCTTTCACCCTGCAGTGACCAGAATGAGGATCACAGGAACTGGAGCCAAGGGAGATTTATTATATCATTGAACTGGCATCTGGAATGTCACATCGTATCCGAGCTCTGACATAACTCTGAAACTTGGCACAGCTGGAACATGGGCTGTTCCAGGTAATGCTGCTATTGTATTTCCCTATTTTCTTTAGAATGATTGTTGCATTGCTACAGAGGTTACAAACTTCCCTCTGCTTGTTTGCCTATCACACTGAAGCTTTATTTTATGAGTTATATCTTTGTTTTCTTATTATTTTAAAACAAAATTTGCACTATTCCCGATTTTCTCAGCCTAACGTTCTCTACTCTGCAATTTTAGCTCCATTCCCAGATGTACATTTTTCATCTCCTCTGGCCTCCTGTGCCCCCTCACTTCATCCCCAATCAATAAATGGAGCTTCCAACAGTATCTGTGCTCTCCTGCGCCAGCATAGTCAGAGTTGTTTGGTGAACAGAGCAATTATGTCCCCCGAGCGTGTTTTTTTGATCCCACCATGGGTTTTCCCCTGCACATGTCTTCTGCCTGCATTTTGCAGGAATACTGAGAGAGATTCACACTGCTGCTTAGTCTGAGTGAACGTTAAAGCCTCTTGTCACTGTTTGCGGGAACGCGCTCGTAACCCGTTGTACTTCCATGAGATGCTGTGAGCAGAAGCTATTGCTCAGATGAAAGCAGTTTGCCACACTCGGCCTCCCTGCACGTTCTCTTATTTTTCTTTCCATTCCCCAGCACATGTTGCGCTTTCCGTGAGACCTGGCGCTGATTCACTGTAATTGCCATCATCTTGCATCTGTTCATGACAACAGCGCAATAAACCCCTAAACTGTTCATTGTAAACAAATAAAAATACACTCCCTTTCCTAAGAAGCCTTTAAAAACATCTTGAGAAAGTCAAGTGCAGCAGTCCTTTGTTGGCCCTTCTAACCTGTGCGATCTCATAGGGGCACTCCACTCCCAAGATTTACCCAAGGTTTGCGAAGCTGGGAGCTGCCTCTGTGAGTGGTGGCCCCAGGGGAGACGGTGCCTGGAAGCCAGTACCCATCCCTGTTGTGGTCGGTACCCAAAGCTGCTCTGGAGGACCATTTCCTACTTCTGCATGACCCACACGATGGGCAAGATGAAGCTGCTCTGCCTGCCTCCTCGTGCACGCCAGGAGGTGACTGCTCTATTTTACATCATTCGTATCCTAAAAATGTGCAGATAGTGTTGATTGTGCCGTCACTGATGTAGAAGCAGAACCAGGCAACTTTATTGCAAGGAATTCTAATTGCTCAACCTAGCGAAAGACTTTCAACTGATTTCATGGGGAAAAAAAAAAAAAAGAGGGAGAGAGAAAGCAGGGACTTGCATTGAAAAATTGTATTTTCTTGAATTGAGTAACAATTTTACTTGAATTTTAACTTGTCTTGAATTCTGCCTGGTTCACCTGCATTAATCAGCGTTCCTGTACAGACCTACACCCCCTGCTTAACTCTGGGGTTTTTTTTCAAATTTTTTTTTTATTTTGCCATGCCCGGAGGAGCAGCCTGGGGGTCCCTCCACGAGGAGCCCCCCG